TATTTTCTTACAATCTGTTGGTTTTCAGCTCAGTTTTGGATTTACAGCCTGATTTGAACGTGGTGTTCTTGTTTTGAGCTCTGTCAGTTTGGAAAAGCCTCCCTCACACAAGTTTGTGGAGGCAAAAGGAAGGAGAAGTTTTAAGGCCGTATCCGGATATTCCCTCATCAGTGCCACCCAGAAGATCACAAGAGAACAAGTGGCAAAAAGATGCTTCAACCTGCCATCCCTGTTCAGCTCAATAAATTGTCCCTGCATTTCTGAAGACAGACAAATAATTTCCTGTGCAGATAAATGGGTCTAATTACCCACCTGAACTAGTCTTCTAAAATCACTGTCAATCAGTGAGCTGAGGTTGGTGAGCTTTTATTAAACGGTTACTAAATTGGTGGCTGTAGACAACCCAGTAACATAAAACGTGATTATTTACTGAAAACAAATCCTAATTCTTCTGCCAAAATATAGTTCCCCAAGGTAGCACACTGGTTGTCAAGCAACAGCGGCGCACTAATACCAGAGACGTCAAACTAGTGCCGCGCAGGACAGACAGGAGTCAGTTCACAAAAAAAAAGAAAAGTGTGCGTTCACGATTCAACTGTTCATTCAGTAGCTATGCCACTCAGGGGGCTGTCCACGGAGGAACTTTTACAAAAGTTGGTGGTGGAAGGAGGAATCCAAATTTCAGAAGAGGAGGCTCAGAAATTTAGAGGTAAGTGAAGTTTGAACTTCATAACTATCAAAGACGTTTCTAGCTAACATCAAATCATTGGTATCAGTAGCTAGCTAGCTAGCTAAGCTGGTTCTGATATTACAGTCACTAACGTTAATTCACTTAACGCTACTGTAGCTAAGCTAGACAATACTGTATCTTGAACTGCCAAATACGTAGGTAGTAAGTAAAGTTATTGAAAATATTAGCTAGTTTGCTCAAATAGTTAAGTCGGCTAACGTTATTAGCCATGCTAATGTCAAGCTAGCAAAGGTACACGGTCTCCCGCTCAAAGCTCCAACAAACAAAAGAAATCACCCAAGCCCGCGAATACACTCTGAAGTTATTTATCTTATTCACTAGTGTTTCTTACTTGGTGTTTATTTATTCATGTTTCCATTTTTATTCTGACAAAACATGTATATCACAGTTAGTGGTAAAAACATGTTAAAGGAAAAAATATATATTTTGAATTGGCTTAATTCATTTTCTCTCCCAGTAGCAACCTTTTATCTTCCGTTTAACGCAACACACAGCAATGTGCGGGGATATTAGTGCTGAGTGGCTTAAGATAGTTCACGCAACACATCCTGGTTTTTAATAATTAGTCAGTAAACGCAGCATTATCTGAAGCAGGCTGGAAACATTGCACTTGTATTTACAAGGACTCGTCGCGGTGCCACGTACGTTAGTTTTTGACTTTAGTCAACACGTGATAACTCGTCTGACACAAAGAGTATCCAGCTGTGTGCTACATGTGTGAAATAACAACTATAGTCTGCACTTTGGGGTGTGTCTGTAAACAGCTTCATTCCGCGTCCCTCCCTCCCCACTGGCACCGTGAGTTACCATGGTTACAGGAAACTGAAATCCTGAAACGTTATAATGATGATCAATAAGAAGTTTTTGGTTAGTTTGACTGTACAAAATCATGAATGTAGCCTGATTATAGCTTGATGCTGACATCTTGTTTTCTAACATATAGAACAAATGTAAAGCCTCAGAGCTTTGATTATTAACAGTATGTTAGTGATGACAAAGGTGATAACTCGCCATCAGACTGACAAGGCTGCAAAAGTTGCCGTTTGTATGATGTATTTTTCTGTTGAACATAAAAGGCTCACTTTAAACACTATTATTAATAATCAATGATGATAATGAGAAGTAGAAAAATAGCATACTAAACATTTCTGTATAATGACATATAATGATTATATACAGTTTTTTTTAAAACTTTATTTACAAACCACATTACAGCGAGTTGCAAAAAAGTTTGTTTTTTTATGAATTGCATCAGTCACTATCTGTATGTCCAGAGTTTCAGTGCTTCTTTTAATAGCTTTTTCATTTATATTTCAGACAATGATGTGGATGGAGAGACAGTAGACTGCGGACTCACAGAAAATATGATTGCATATCTCTTTGACAAGTCTTTCAAAAAGCAGCTAAAATTCAGAGACTTCACACACCGCAACAAGGAGGTCACCGTTACTTTGGAAGTGGTCAACCCAGAACAACAAACATGTGAAGCTTCTGTGTCCCCAGCAAACCAGAGGTGGTAATGTATTAATTAGGCTATTTTTTTCACCATTTCTTTTTCTATTTTTATCTTGCATTGAGGTGGTGTTGTCCTAATCTGATAATGCTGTTCTTCTGCTGTATTGCAGGTTGGAATCTACTTGCCACAGACTGCCTGCAGTCATTTCCATTCCACAATTCCCACAAGATGTCCAGAGCCGCTTAGATGCTAAAGAACCGGTCCACAAGGAACAAAAGTACCGTAACAAAATAATTGGGAATCTGTATGACATGCTGTCACAGTGTACAATGTAAGTGTTCTTTTCCAATTATCATACAAAACATAAAATGTAATATGTACAGTTTTTATAATTTTTCACCAGATGCACGCATGCAAACTTGTCACCCCGGCACACACCCACTCAATAACACGTGCACGGAGTGAAGTCAGTGAACCACGTGCAGTGAATATAACATTTTACTCGAGTTGATGACAACTACACTTGTTACTATAAATGTAATTAAACCTTTGCAAGTAAATACCAATACTTTATCCCTACACCTGTTCAACAAGCATACATTTAAACAGGTAGAAAGTGATATTAAAATTTTCTCCTGCAGTCTCTTATTCACCGTAATATGGTAATGTAGTTTGTTTTGTCATTGTTTGAGACAGGTATCCAACCAACTCGGACTACGTTCAGATCGTTAAAGCGTTAATTGGGAAGTACCCTTTCTTAAGGGATGTACACGGGAATGGTTATGTAAGTACCTCTCCTTTGGTCTCTAATTTGAACAGATTTTAGATTTACAGAAGTATGCATAATTAACTTTCATGATATCTGTTTGGAACAACCAGCATACCTGGCACAGCCAACTCAAGAGAAAATTCAAAACAGAACGGGCTCCACTAATCAACAATGAGGAAGTAAAACGGGTCAAAGAAAAGTTTCGGCAAGCAAGATCACTGAAGACCCCAGAAGAATCTACATCCACATGTCCAAAACGACTGAAGCCATCTCTAGTAAGTCCCCTCAATCTCACAAAAGCTAAGGCAAGATCACATTGTTATATTGTGTACATATGATCTCTAACCAGTGATATCTGTATTGATAAATGAATCATGTATTGGGGGGGAGGATGCACCTTCTGGTCTGGGCTCATATCAAGGTACTGCTTGAGCAATACAGAAAGTTGCATCCCGACATGAATCTGGTGAAAGACCGCATGATGAAAACCTTTGCATGGAGACGCCGAGAAATAGCAGAAGGAATGTCAACTGAAGATCTGTTGAGGAGATATCCATTCCTAAGAACATCCGCTGGGGTAAGAACAATTAAGCTGCTGCCAACTTCAGCCACAGTCAGTGCTTTAAATTGCTCCCGGTCTATATATTGACACTTAACAGAAATTCTGAAAAAAGGTTCATATAGACTTCTCCTACAGTTGTCATTAATTTCCATTTGTAAGATTTTACTGCATCTGTCCTGGCTGCCACTACACCGTTCCTCCTATGCCTTTCTTTCCCCTGTTTGTTTTTTTTAAATCTCAGTTGTGCGATGAGGTTGATGCCATGCACCCCTCTCCAGTCAACATATGCCACCGCATCAGTGAGAACTTCACATCTATTCTCCCAAATATGCTGAAACTTGTCAAGGATTCGCCACTGAAAAAACTATACATGGAAGCAAGAGCGGATGCCTTGGCTGAGGATATTAAAGGTACTGATTTGAGCACATATAACTAGTTAATTTTGCTCCATCATTGTGTCAGTTGTGTGCAGTCCGTTTTTTAAAGAGACTGTGTACAGTTCCACTGAACTGGTACTGCATTGTTAATCTGTGGCACATAGTGGGTGTATAATGCAACATTATCTTGATGATGTTTAATTTGTTTATTTCTCACATGCATTTTAAAAGCTAATACATTTTAGTTTATTGTACTGAACCTGAAGTAACATGCGGTAGCCTGTCTTGGAATTTACAGGTTATTTGTGTCAACCAACATTTCTTGAAATATTAAAATTGTAAAATCTTTATGACCTAGGAATTGACTTCAGGGGTGGACTCCTCCTCTTGCCATCCATATTCAAGGAGAAGATTGAGGATTTCATTATGCTTGGACAGGTAAATACCTGGTGTCCTGCATAGCCACTAGCCATAAGTTAATGTTCTTTTAGATCACTGTGCATGCTTAATCATATTGATCTTGTTATGTATGCTAACATTCTTTTCTCTTATGCAGAAAAATCCTCAAACTCCATATCCAACCGTTCAACTGAAAGCACAAGGGTTGAAATTTGCCCTCTCCAGACAGTGCCAGAGTGTGGTCAATGTCGAGGGAATTGAGGTCTGTTCTTGCACTTCGGTGGATGAGGCCTTCATTGCAGCCTTCTGCATGTACTTTGTCTTCAACATGGCATATCCTGGATACTTGAAAAAGACACTGACCTTTCTCCAGAGGCTCATCGCAAACATCACGGGGGATGGAGACAAATCCCTGCCGGTAACTGTAACTCGAATTGTCAACCTTCTTCGCTGATCATGCCTGGACTGCATCAGTGTACAAAATCCTCAAAGAGGACCTTTACTCTTAGAAAACTGATTCATCACATTGGACTTGTACATGCACACAACCCTCATTTCAACATAACCTGTGGGTTGAGTAACTGCCAGTATGCTTTTTCCAGTATTCTTTTAGGCGGCATGTTTTTCGAAAATTCTTGAAAATTAAGTACATTCTGAACGTTGAGACTTTTGGGTGTGCTTGGGTCCTTGCTCTTATGACAATCACTTCCATACTTACCACGTCAAAGTTGACAATGACTGATTTTACTCAGTCCAGGAAGTGTATTGGACTATCAAGCTCTCGACACATATTTAGTCGATGATAGACTGTATGTTTCCTTGAGGTATTCTGTGTAAGTATGTTCTATCTAAATGTGTGTTACTTTTTGAAGTATTCTGCCTCATGTTAATGTGACTGCAATCTTTACATATTGTAATGTTATGCATTGACATTGATTGATTTTATATGTAGCTATATAGAATTGAATGAATTAAGATGTTTACACTATAAATGCTGCCATGTTTATCTCAAAACATACATTTTCATTGATGTTAATAAATGGTAAAGAAGCAATTATTGTCTGGTACATTTTTGTCTCCTTAAAGTCCCAAATATCTTGTCACTGGGGGGTACCCTTTTAAAGTACAGGAAAGTACCCTTTCAATGAGGTACATTGCTATACCTTATAGATTAAAGGTACATTTATGTCTTGCAGGGTACACAACTGTACTTGAACTGGTACAATTTGATAAGGTACATAAATGGACCAGGACTGAAAGGTACACAATTGTCTCTCAAAAGGGTACCTCCCCTGCGACAAGCATTTGTACCGATTTAGGTACAAACTGGTACCTCTATTTTTGAGTGTGTAGAGATGTTTAAAAAATAAGTCACAATTCAACGGTTTTGTATAATAATATCATTTGCTCCCTTTTGAGCAAACTAAAACCGCATTTAGCACACAAATGGACTTAATATTGAGTAGGGTTTAATTTATAATTTTATTTGCTGTTTTTAATTGTCTTTTAATTCCTGCATTTTATTTCACTTTATTGTATGAAATGTTATAATGTGAAGCACTTTGAGTCTGCCTTGTGTATGAAAAGTGCTATACAAATAAAATTGCCTTGCCTTGCCTAGTTGGATGTCTTGTAGATCAAGCTAAATTCCGCTGGCGTGTGTGTCAAGGGCGTACGCATCCTTTGGGGTGGTCGTGTCCCCCCAATATTGAGAAAATACCAATCTGCCCCCCAATATACAGCAGACAAATGTTTCCTTCCTTTTATGAACCGTTTGTTAAGCGAAACGCACCGGGACTCTGAGTGCCCACTCGCTCCGCTCAGCGGGGCCGTAGTGTCCAATGTGAAATCTAACAAAAATTCTAAACTGTGGAGTAATTTAGTATTCAAAATACTCAAAAAAACATTTAACGAGCCCAGTCTTCAGATCTTCAAGTTCAATATTCTATCTGAGTGTGTCGTATAGACTTTAAAGCCCTCTGAGGCAAATTTGTAATTTGCCATTTTGGGCTATACAAAATAAAATGAATTGAATTGAACTTGGGAAAAGTTATGCTGTTTTCTCAATGTGAATGTCATAATGCCATATCAATTACTGGCAGAAAATACAGTGCACTGTTACCCGCACTGCTATGACATGTCCATTTGGTAAAAGAAAACCCTTACATATTTATTTTCTTTAAAAGGTATATTTTAAAGTATTATTGTATTATTATTTCATACATTCTAGTGGGCCAGGTGGACAACATGCCTCAGCAAGATAATGTTCATGAAGGACCATCAACAAGATGCAATAAAGCATGTGTCTGCAATCTTGGATGGAATTTAGGCTCTTTATGTGTACAACTGTTTGAAATCTATAGTTTTTGTTTATAGTACATAGGCCTGATGAATATTGTCTTGTTGATACAAAGCGAAAGTTTGAGTTGTTAATACCCATCAATCATAAAGTTGTTGTCTTTTAACTTGGTTACATTGACATGTGACTGTCTTTGGGGTTCACCAGAGCTTTGTGTACATATTATAGCCCAAACCCGAATGCTCTGCAATGCCAAATAGTGAGAAAAACAAAATACATATATGTATTATAAATAGAAGATGCATGTATTATATTTTGTTACATTTTCTGGCCTTAGTATTTTAATTTATTTTATTTTGTATACAATATTGATTAAAAAAACATTTTGATGTGTTTTTGCCCATCTCTGTACACAGTATATGTATATATGTGTAAATGCATGTTTTTTCAGCAGTCCGTGTTTGTGACAGTACTTTACGAACAGGTGGAGGCGTCTCTTTCTCATGTTCTGCAAAGAATTCTCATCAACCGCCCACACCACGTAAGTTCGTGGATAAGTGTATGGTCCTGAGTATCTTCTGTCCTACAAGTCTACACTGGGAAATCTAAAGCCCTGATATAATTCAAGGGATGAGAGTTGTCCTGACATGACCGAGGGACTCAGTGGACACAACATCCCATGCGACAATTTATTTACAACGTTTCAAGCTGCAGACTCAAGAGAAAGCTGACACAGTGAGAACAATGAGGAAAACATTGGGAAGAAGTAAATGTCTGTTGAGATTTTTTTAAAATTTTGTTCAATTAAAACCCCCAAATTACAAAAAAAAAAACGACAACACTGAGACAAATGAGTGACATGAGTGACAAAAAAAGGAACACCATACAAGGGTTCATTCAAATACACGGCTTAACACCACGAGCCCGCTTAGTCAGCCGGAGTCGGTGAAGGTTTTGTTCACACGGGGTCTACAGGCCCGTCAAACGATAGCGGGGAGGATGGAGCATGATGGCGTTCCAGAGAGCTGGCCTAAAGCCCGGAGCGAATCCACAGTCTCATAAACATGTTTCCATCTGCACTGAGAGGTATGAATCCTCCTCCTACTATATTGCCCAAACTGCATGGGTCACGTTTCAGCAACTAAATAGGCTAATTGGTTTGCATTCTTTACGGGCTGAAAAAAAAAGAAATCGCGAAAATGCAAGATTTTAAGGACATGTAAACTACTGGAGGAAATTTGTGGATTAAACGGGATTATTAAGTGTTGCACTATACTTTTAATAATGGTTTACACGGATTATAAACAATATGCACTACATACCATCGTGTATTTGGTGGGCGGGGAATATTGGCTACAAGACAACACCGACACAGTAAACACGCACAGTAGACGGGACAGTTACATTAAAGCAGGCAGGAAGGTGCTGTATTTACAGGACGCCTCTGAGGAGACAGCTGACCAGACGGCTTTGGTTCTTTTATTTTTTTGTCCGTTATGTCCTTTTTTTATTCGCATTTTCATCCCGTTTGTTGGCAGCACTGTCCATCGTTTTTCTAATTTTCTCTTTTTTGTAATTCCCTTTTTTAACAACACGCAATTACTGTTTCACTAAATAGTCCTGAGTGCAAAAAAAATGTGGGCTACGGAGTGCTGGTCTTCACTTTGGCCATAAACTTCTTCTCCTTCACCCTCCGGTTTTGGAACCAGATGGTGATCTGGCGCTCCGACAGGTTGGTCGCAGCCGAGATTTTTCTCCTCTTTTCCTTGGTGATGAACTTGTTAGCGGCGTACTCCTTCTCGAGCTCCTTTAGTTGGAGCTTGGTGTACGGTATCCGCTTTTTCCGGCCCCGGCGGAAAGGCGAGCCGTCGTGCTGG